CTCAGGGGCAGGACAATTGTTATTATCTTTCACCTTTTAAATTTATTTTTGTTGCGTTTAATCATTAATTTAAAGTTTACCATTGATATAAGAAACAATTTTCAAGTTAAGCAAAGAAAATAAAAAAACCTGCCTTGAGTTTGACACGTTCTAGACCAAAGTTTTAGGCTGGTGCAGAATAATCTGCTTTCTCTCATGCAGGAGTTCCTGCAGCAGATAAAGGAGAAACAAACTGAGGCAACTCGTTTAAACGAAGCCGTCGGCAGGTTGACGGACGGACAGGTCTCTCCTGTCCTGGAGGAGATAAGGAGACTGAAGAGAGGCTGGATGGAGCTGGGCCAACGGGCTGAAGAGCTGGAAGCCCAGAGGGGGGAGGACATGCAGCGGAGTGGAGAGTACCAGGAGAGCGTGGCGGCTGTGGAGGAACTCTTTCACCAAGTGTCCAGAGAGTGGGACTACCTCGCCAGGTATCAAGGTCTCTTTTGAGACTTTTAACTTTGGTACATGAACCTATTATTAGGGACGTAAGGATTCACTCAGAACGTAACTTCAAAATAAAAATTCATTTTGTGACCAAACATGATCAAGTATAAAACTGAATTTGTCTTAAAGGGGCAATATTATGTGTTTCTCAGGCATATATTTAAATACTATACCACAATAAAGTATCTATGTCACCTTTAGTTGTTATTAAAATGCTGTTTTTATGTTTAAATAGCAAATAAACTTATCTTCTCATCACTTCCTCTTCTAAACGCTTGAAATTGGCCTCTGTCTCTTTAAGAACCGCCTTCCGCTTCTGTCCCGCCCATTTCAGCGCAGGTGGTTCGTACGTGGGGGGGGGGGGGGGGGTCTATGATGCAGTTTATTTGGCATCTGAAAATACATTTCCTCAAAGGTATTTTTAATCTGAAAAGAGCTTCACTGAGTGAGAAGTAGTGAGAGCAGCAGTTTAAGTTTCACTTTCACTCGTTTGCTTTGTTGCTGCCGAGAACGTGCACGAGTCATGGACAGGGGGTGCGCTCTGCCATGAGGAAGTTTGGCTTAAAGACACGTCCCAGGGACGTTTCTGGTACCAAAAGGCGTTTCTGGTCCCCACCTGTCGTTTTGCTCCTCAGCTTGGCTTCCTAAAAACACTGCAGGTTTTCTCAAACATGCATGCATGAGTCAAAGCAAGGCTTTGGGCATGTTTTTTACGAGAGTATAACATTATAATATGATATAAAACTCAAAAAAGTTGATTTTACATGATATTGCCCCTTTAAAGACATAACTTGTTATAAAATAACAAGATGTCATTTTTATTAATCGAGTCACATCTTAAGCTGATGAATTGTTACGTCCATCGATCTGTAATACAGATCAATGGTTACATCCCTGCTCATTGTATGTATCAAGCTGTTTGTGTAGACTTCTTCAGCTCGTATGTGTGTGCACCTAGGGCTGACACAGAAAGCACAAGTGAGCATCTAGAGGCTCTGAGGAAACTCGCTAGTGACCTGGAAGATCAGAGAGAAACACTAGAGGACCTCAGGGACCAGAGACAAGCCATCCTGCCTCGACTTAGCCTGCTAGACAAAGAGCTGGTGAAACAACAGGTGAGAGCAGCTTAAAGTGGTTGACAATATAATTACTCATGTAATGCTTGAGAAGATACTGGGTTTAGTAGCGGCTCTGTTTCTCCTTTCTCCAGGTGGGTCATCTAGAGCAGCGCTGGGCCCAGCTCGAAACCCTCATTCTGCAGAAGATCCAGGACTCTGCTCAGACCCTGGAAGATCTGGCCCGGGTGGAGGCCCGGCTGAGAGACGCCAGAGAGTGGGTGGAGAAGCAGCGGCCCGCTCTCACCTCGGCGCTGAAGACCAGCCCGCCGCCGGACCTCGCCCAGAGCTTCCTGTTCGACCACCTGACCGTTTGCGTGGAGCTGGAGGCCCGTCAGCAGCTGCTGGGTCAGGCGGTGAGCGAAGCCCAGACCGTGGCCTCCAGACTCGGGCTGAGCGAGAAGAGGTGCTTGCAGGAGCTGGTTGAACAAGCCCAGATGGAGGTGGAAGCTCTCGGGGCTCGAGCAGCTCAAAGGAGGAAGTACCTCAGCAAGGTAAACAGCTGGAGCTTGCCAAAATGTAATTGAGTGTATCTCAGCATTTACAAATTCTACTTAAATAATCTTGGTATCAAAATAAAGCTAACACTTGGGAGATTTTATTAGAAGGGTAAGTATTAAAACAGTTGCTGCGGTTTTAGAGACATTGGAGATGGAATATACTTTTTTTCACTCTCACCTGAATAATTTCTTTCATTAGACAGTATATAACCCATTTAAAACCATAATGAATCAGTTTAAAAACTCTTGGAAACCATAAAACCACTTGTGAACATTACCTGTGTAAGGATTCATGCTGCTAAAATGAACTGGAGCAAAGTTACAGAAGTTTTAGTAAAGAAATCATTTAGTGTTTTATCATTCTGCACAGGACAGACCATGATGGTACCATTAAGAAATGTTAAGTTTTTACATCCAAAAGTTATTTATTTTTGTTACAGTAATAGTTATTGAATGTTTGTTCTTTTGAATGTATTTACAGATTTACTTGAATGTATTTACAGATTTGCAACAATCCCATTTTGTACAGTTTGTTTACTTTCTAATTCAACTGCCTGTCCTTTGAACTGTGTTTGGTGAACATAAAAATTGTTTCCATGAGCTTTTAGCCAATATTCTTAGCTTTCTATTGATACCAAACATGTCCAGGTTCAACTGACAGACCTTAAGTTAAAAGAAGTTAAAATTAATAGAAAACGGAAAAAGCTTTTTTGCCCCCAGTACCGGGGGCATGGTCACCCTAAAGGATTTGCAACCATTATCCTGAAAACTCCACACTGCTACTAATGAAAGGTCTTAATTTTTTCTCTGCAGGCTTTTACAGAGCGGACTCAGTTCCTTCAGGGCCTGGGCAGAGCCCTATCTTGGGTCAAGCAGCAGGAGAGGAAGGCTTTGATAGACGACCACATTGCGTTGCTTCCTGAGGACCTGACCAAACAGGTCGCTGCCTGCCGGGGCATCCAGAGCGGACTGCGAGCCTACCAGAGGGAGTTGGCATCGCTCTGGGTACAAGGGCGAGACCTAGAGAGGGACGCCACTGACAAAGAGAGAGCGGAGACACTCGCAAGACTCGAGGAGCTTCAGGCGGCCTTTGAGACCGCCCTTCAGAGGACCACCCAGCRTCTGGCGGGCTTAGAAAAAGCTTTGACCTCGAGGAGGTACTTTCAGGTCGACCTGGACAAGACCTGCCACTGGCTGAGGCGAGCAGAYGCCATAACGTTCCTAGAAATCGATTTTAGCAGCGTCGACGAGGGCTCTGATTTACAAACGCAGCTGTCGAACTTTCAGACGGTCTTAGAGCAGGCCTCGGAGTACGAGAACCTCCTCGTCATCGTCCAGAGAATCGGTCAGGAGATCCTCCCTACTCTGAACGAGATCGACCACTGCTACCTGGACGAGCGGCTCAACGCTCTGCCGCAGCAGTACAACGCCATCCTCGCTCTGGCCAAAGAGAAAAAAGACAGAGTCCAGCAGATAATCATGGAGAGAAAAGAGTTCAGCACTTTCTTCGACATCACTCGCAACGCGCTGCAGGAGCTGCAGGAGCACTTCGACAATCTTGAGAAGCAGACTATCAGTGTAAGAGAGGAAGACTTTGTTAGCCGAATGAATAAATACAGAAGCATCGATGAAAGCTTGGTTCATATCAGCCCTGCTGTTAGGGAACTTCATGGGAAAAACGAGGGGTTTCTCATCAGGGGGCAGAAATACAGAGCCGAGGAGACGCAGCAGCTGGTCGTTCTCCACAACACGCTGAAGAGGAGGAACCACCAGGAGATCCAACGTCTCAACGACTGCTTGGAGAAACTAACCAAACACAACAGGGCGGTGTCCAGATTACGCTCGGAAATAAAATCCGTTAACGAGGCGCTGCTCGAAATCAAATCAAACAAGGATTTAAGAACTTCAGAGAAAATCGCTGATCTGTTTTCGCTGCTGCGAAGTYTAGAAGAAGTGAGATCTCAGGTTGAGGAATCGTACAAAGAAGCCAAAAATCTAAATCTGAAGTTTGACGCTGCCGCTTTTCAGGAAACGACGCTGCACCTCGAGTCGTGTCGGTCTCTGCAGCGCGACGTTCAATCCGCCGTTAGAAAAAGTGAAGCGGGATCCAAAAACACTGAGGATTTGACAGGAGAGGCTGAGAGCATCCTGGACCGGTTGAAGGCGCTAAAAGACAAACTGAAGGAGCCGTTAATCTTCTCAGAGGTGAAAACTGAGGCGACGCTCAGGGAGCAGCAGAAACTGAGAATCATGGAGGAGGAAGTGGAAAGTGCATCGAGGGCGGCCGATTTGTTGAGAGGCGAAACGAAGCAAAAGTGTGAAAGTGGAAAAGAAGGTGTTCCTGCCCAGTTAGAAGAGAAACTGCAGGAGCTGATGAGTCTGGGAGCTGAAGTTCAACAAGAAATCAGAGCAAAACAGGTAATTTTTTATGCCACACAGCAATTTTCTTTATTTATTTTTGTCTGTGAAATACTTGAAATACTTTGAATAAGCAAACTGTTTAGGAAATCAAGAAGCCTACCAATTTTTTTTAGCTATTTTTAGTTTTTACCTGCTGTTTTGTGTGTTTTAGCTTTTAGCTTTATTTTGCTGATTGTAGCGTTTTTTTTGCTTTTAGCTTTTGTTTTGATAATTGGAGCTTATTTAGCTCGTTAGTTTTTAGCTGAAATGTTTTCAAACTGGGGAGTGCCAAAACTGACACGTGTGTGGACGGGTTTTTCCTACAGCGTGGGGAAACTTTTCCCAAAAAAGCAGCCCCGTGGGGGCCGGTGCCCATTCCCCACGGGTCCAAATGCAAAATTACAGGTGGGGGGTAGGTTTAGGGTAAAGGGTCTGAGGTTAGGCTAATTAAGTGACTTGAAAATGAATGGAAGTCAATGCAAAGTCCCCTCGTGGATAGAAAAACCAATATGTGTGTGGGTGTTCATTGAATTAGTAATAACTTTAGATATCCCAGCATGCTTTTAAGTATGGAAATAAATAAATTTCACGTTATGTTCCATGGGAGGCAGGGAGGAAAACATGCACAGTATATCACGTCAAATGTCAGTAGCAACCACATAATTTATATATTTGAATAGGGAGTGGGAGTAAATAAGTTTGTCTTCTTCCCAGTCCTTTTTAAGTTAAATGTATTTATATTCTGTTTTATTATTATTAATACAAATTGTTGATTGAAAAAGGAGTAAGCTTTTTTTAATCTTGTCAATTGAAGATTTATTGACAATACAGTATACTGATTTAAACCATTATTTGATTATTATTGTTTGAATTTAACTTTACTTTTGAAAATAAGTGCAGATATAAGATTTTCTTCTTCTTCTGCTACCTTTCATTTCTTTTTGTTTTATTGTATTTCATTTCTTTTTATTTCATTTCATTTTATTTTTTCATTTTATTTTATGTTTTTTAAWGTATTTTGTTTGCTTAAAATGAAAAGAAATTTAATAAATTAAACTAATAAAAAATGTTTAATTAATACGTTAAAACATCATTTACATTGTTCCTTATTAAGAATATTTAAGGTTTTGTTGAAATTCTGACTAGAAACTAGACTAGAAAACTAAAATATACACAGTCTTTTTTTATTGTGCTGTATCGAACCCTGGTCGTAAACTTCTTGTGAAACAAAAAGAGACATTTGAAGTTAACAAACACCTTCTTGTCTTCTAGCTTGCTGTAGATCAGGTTCTGGCCCTGGTCCAGAGACACCACTTATCTCTGCAGTCCATGCAGAAATGGCTGGACTCCGTAGCGGATCTGCTCCACAGAACCAGCTCCGGGGTGGATTCAGAGAACCTGTCAGACTGTATGCAAGACCTGGAGGAAGTTGTAGTCCAGGAGAAGAACTTCACAGCTGGTTCTGAGGAGCTAAAGACTTTGGATCCACTGTTGGTTGATTATATTGACGCCGCAGTGATGAGTGAGCTCAGAGAGAAGATTCAGTCGATGCAGGTGAAGAAGACTGAACTCAAACACGAGGTGGACGCGTACAGAGGAGTGCTGCAGAGGTATGTGCTTGTTCCGCTCCTTGAATTCAAGCCAAGCAGAACATTTGATCTAAAGTTTAGTCTGTTTTTCTGTTGAATATGTCAGCAGTTATGTGTATTTTCTCAGGTGTGGTGCTCTCTGGAGCTCCTTTCAATATGAAAAAGAAGCTCTGGTTGAACACATGAACGATTTAGAGAGCGACATGGCCACGTTCACAACAGCTAAAGCCTCCAGYGCCCACAAGGCAGAGGACAAGTGTCAAAGATACAAGGTGGGCAACCTGATTGGAAGATTAGATATTCCTGTTTTGTTTAGTTTTTTTGGTCTATTTGTTATTGATTTATTAAATGTACATATTTCAAACTATTAAATCAAGCAAATAAATGTAATTATACCAGATGGTGCAGTTTGAAAGAGTTTACTTCTGTAGTTCTACAGATGCATTTCTGAAATGCAGGTCTGCACTCAATGTAAACAAATCACTTTAACCTGCGTTCTTGACTTAAATAAATATGTACCAAATAATTAATATTATCAAACTTCTTGACCGAAATGGCTCTGCTGTGGACATCATTGTTGACKTGTTTTGTGTCATTTTGGCTTGTTCCGTAGATGAATAAACCCGTGAGCCGTACTCGTAAGATTCCGTGTGTATTAATGGTTATATTTTTGTCTCAAAGGCTCTGGTGACTCAGCTCGACATGCTGCAGTTGCCTCTGAATGCCTTGAAAGAGAATGCAGCAGAGTTGGACGAAATTACCTCCGAATCAGGCAAAGCGCTCTCCAGCCACGTGGTCTCGTCGCTGTGGCAACGGTGGACGAGGCTCCGCTGCGTGGCCCGAGCCCAGGAGAGGGCACTGGAGGACACCGCGAGGGAGTGGAGAACCTTCATCGAGAAGGTAAAGAAAGGATGTTGTTGCTGTGTGGGAGGGAGATTCTGCTGGTTTTACTTCTGTTAGAGGCAGAAGGGGTTGGACTTCTTTTGATAAATCACAGAATCTTTRTGTTTTTGTCTGCGGTTTGTTTGCTGTTTGCAGAAATGTCATTGATTCTTGARCCTCTCGTTGAATTAAACCAGAATAAGCTGAATGAAAATGGTGAAATTGATTTAGTAACTGGTTGCTGCTGCAGCCTAAATGCATGATTAGGTGTTATCACTGTTTTGTTTTGCATTTTTCCAAATGCTTTGATCAGACAGTGCAGTTTTGCAGCGATTATTGTGCCGTTTTCTTAAAGTGCCTGTGATATGAAAAATTTTAAATAAATATAAAGGTATTATTGGAAAGATAACATTATTAGCAAATTGCAAAAATAGTTTCCTGCTGCTGAGATGAACAGTTGTTGAGATATTTGCATGTGAAGGAACAGGAAGTGATGTCAAAGAGGAATCCCTACATGGAACAAAGCATTGATAAAATAGCTAACGACACAGATGGTAGAGAAAAATCTGATGTTTCTGTAGATTATTTTGAGTCATAATCAGATAGAGATGAAGATGAATCAGAGTTCAGATAATATTGTTTTAGTAAACAAAGATTACAGAGTTCTCTTTCTTAAAGAGTTCCTGTTTGTCACTTCCGGTTGCACTTGGACTGAGCCAAATTCAAAAGAAAATAAGACATTTATGTGACAAAATGGGTAAAATCGTGTTTTATGCAAGGTTTCTTATGTAAAAATGGGTTTTCTTTGACTTTTTTTATTTGATGGATAGACATGTCACAGGCACTTCAATCTGGGGAGTTATTGATCCAGATTTGATTTGATTTGATTCATTGATTTAACAGGAAAAGATTATTAAAAATCAAGCCTGACTCAGCATAATTGCTGTTTTACAGCAGGTTCCTGTTCTGCAGCACATAAAACACTCAGAAATACAG